GTAGTAGCAACAAAAAGCCAAGTGACTTGTAGCAACAATTTTCCCTTTTAACTACAAACAGGTCAATGCCCTGGTAAAACAACACGGGTCAAGTGACCTGGTAGCTAGCAAAAAGTCAATTGACTGGTAGCTAACACGGGTCAAGGGGGCCTTACTACAACACAGGAAAGTACCTGGTAGCTAGCAAAAAGGGTAAAAGTGACCGGGTTTAGAAAACACGGGTAAAGGCCCTGGTACACAAGGTCAATGGCCTAGTAGCTACAACACGGCAAGTGACCTGGTAGCAGCAACACGGGTCAAGTGACCTGGTACTAAAAACACAGGCAAGTAACCGGGTAGCTAACAAGTACCTAGTAGCTAAAAAACAGGTCAAGTGACCTGGGGGTAACAACGCAGGCTAAGCAAGGGTTACGGCAGGATTACATAAATATATGATTTCGGGTCATTTGTGGGAGACAAGTACTCTGTATTGGGTAAATGGGGAAACAATTAACTAAGCAGATTTTATCGTGGAAAAGTTTCCCTTCCCGGGGGGTAAGGGGGTTTTTAAGGGGGCCCTTTTGGTGGGGTCTTGGGGTTTAGGGTTCCCCGGGGGCGGCCTTTTTTAAATAAAATTTCCATACCCCAAAAAAACCCCCCCCTCCCAAACCCCCCCCCCCCTCCCCCCCCACCCCCCCCCCCCCCCTTTTATTTCCCCACACCGCATTCCAAAATAAAAACACCGGGGCCACCCACCCCTTTTTTTTTTGGGGGGGGGCCCAAAGGTTTTCCCATTCCCATCCCCCCATCCTTACGGGGGTTTTCCCCCTTAACCAACCCCTTTCACCGGTTTTCCTGGGGGGGGTAGCTTTTGGGATTTTCCCGGCCCGCCCCCATTAAACTTTTGGAAAAAGGGGCCAAATTTATGGATTCCCGGGGGGGTTTTGGCCCGAAGGGTAGCTATGGGCCGGTTCCGGCCCGCCCCCCGGGCCTTTATCCCCCGGGGAGTTTGGGCCTAAATTTGGGGGGGCTTTCCGTTGGGGTTTATGGATGGGGGGGGGGGGTTAAGGGGAGGTTTATCCCGGATTGGGGCCGCTTAGGGGGGGAGGGCCTTGGCCGGAGGGAGTTTTGGTTTTTCCTTTCCTCCTGGGAAAACTATTCCCCCGGGGGGGGGGGCCCCCCAAAATTTTTTTATTTTTTTTTTTTATTTTTTTTTTATTTTCTTCTTTCTTTTTTTTTTTTTTAAAACCCCCAAAAACAAAGGAGAAACCCTTTAACCAGGGAGCCCAAAGTCCCAGAACCCACTCCCCCCGGGCCCCTTTCCTTAAAACCCCCACCCCATTCTGACCCTCCCCTTGTTTTTAACCCACTCTTCGGACACTCCTGTGCCCCCTTTTAAACCCTTGCGTGCTTTTTCCTCCCCCGCTTCGGGTCCCGGGGGTTTTCGACTGACCCCTTCGTTTTGTCTGAACCCGCTGTCCTTTGACTATGCTTCCGGTTTCCCCCCTCTAGGGGTCCCAAATTTTTCCGAAAGCCCCCCCCCATTTCACAAAGACCAACTTGGGTCCTACTCCAAAACCCCAAAACTCAATCCCCCTTGATATACCCTTCGTTACCCCCCAAATTCAAACCGGAAAAGACCGACACTCAAGCACCCCCTCCCACGCTCAGTTTTTGGCCCAAACACCGGGACTAAATTTTTTCCCTTTAAAAACCGACTTTCTTCTTTTTGCCTACCTTTCCCCTGACCATAGTTTTTGGAAAAGCGCTCCTGCTTCATTTGGTAAGATTTTTTCATTCATGCTTTAAAACGAGGGGATGCACATCGTCACTGCCAGAATGCTACCCTAGCTCTGACCCTTTCCCCTCCCTTTCGAAAACGTACACTCCTATCACAAATGAAAAAAAATTTTTGCCCCTCAATTCTTGTAGTGGTAGGGGAATTTTCCCCCAAATACCATAGTCCAAAAAATTTTCCAGCTTTGTGGCAATGACATTTTAAAACAGCGGAAAAAAACCCCAAGGGATTCCCAACCCCAAAAAGTAGACACTTATGCCCTTTTCCCTTTTCCCCCGGGGGGCGGAGACGTTACCCTTGCAAATGGGCCTTTTAAACTTTTGCCACCAAAAAACCCCGTCCCTTTAAAAGCAGGGGACATGGGTTTTACAATTTCAAAAGGGTGATACCTACACGGGCAAAAAAGTAAAATTGCTGGCTTTTTGGGTCACCCGGGCCAAATTTTTTGCAAAACAAAGGCCAAATTTCCCCCAGTCGTGGGCCGACGACCTTTCAATACATCTTGCAGCAACCTCCATTTTGCCTTAATTGTAATAAAAGCTCACCCTTTGAAACTCCCCCCGTTGTCGGGTCTATTTAAAAGAACGTGAAATCCATTGCCCTCAAAAGGGGAAAAAGGGTCTCCCTTATCCCCAAAAAATCATTTA